CGTTGCTAATAAGTTCCGACATACCAATGTCCAGCACCACGGCCGCCTCGGCCTCGTGCTCGCGCCAGTAGCGCTTCTGCGTCCTAGCAGAGGTGGGTTCATGACTCACCAAGGATCCACTAGGAGAAATGTGCGTAGCACCGAGTGTCTTCGACTTCCAGTCGATCCATGGCTCATGGCGCTCCAGCCATGTCATGCCCAGGATGAGGTCATACCTCGAATACAGGTCTAAGACCAAACAGCGTTCCACGCTATCGAAGTCTAAGAACCTTACATTAAGGGCAACAGAGACCTTCGACACCGTCACAAGTGTCCCCGTCGCAAGACGGACTGAGATTTCATCTCGCGTTCGCACTTCCAGTGCCTCAGCATACCGCTGACTCCCTTCCAGGGTGGAGCGACGGGCATACGGGGGAGGCCCCGAGCCAATCAAGCCTCTCCACGTCTTCACTTTCGATTGAACGACCAGCAAGCCCGGCTTGCACAGACTCTTCTTATACGAGAGCCCAGATCTCTTCGGGGTTGAACCCCGTTGTCCTCTACCTCCTCGAGGCACAGCAGAACTCCGTTCTTCCCCAGTAGGCCGCCCCGCGCCTTCTGGGAGTTGCCGTTTCCCGGCGATGACCCGGAGTGCTGGCTCGCTGGAGCCTGGAGCCTGGCGCTTGAAGCGCACAGGGCAACTCGCCCTCAAATGCTTATTGCTTTTGCACGTAAAGCATCGGCGGATGTCGACACGCTGCTCAGCAGCAAGAAGCTCCGCTTCTTCATCTTCAGCATAGCTCAGGTCCATCGGTTCCGGACCGCTCGAAGAGCTCGCGCTACCAGCACCCCAACCAGGTCGAGCCGACCTGAAGTTGTGTTCGGCATTCAATGCCACGTTCACCTCCTCCTCGAAAGAGGTCGGGTGTACACGGAATAATTCCGTTCGAGCTGCGCTCACGCGGAGCCTCTCCATGAACACGGTCACAGTGACCAATTCCGGAAGGGGGTCCGCCGCCATCCCGGCGATCAGAGTTCTTAACTCTTGGACATAGTCCAGCAATTCCTTCTTACCCTGCCGGGTAGCAAGGAACTTCGCCCGAATACGGTACGCCTGATTAGGTGGCGCGAACACGCGCGACATTTGCTGCTTCAGCTGATCCCAAGTGTGGAACGCCGTGTCAACGGACGTACCGCACGTTAGTGCCCACTCGCGAGTGAGACCTCCAGGCTTGGAGATGGTCAGCGCGACGCGCTGCTACTCAGACTGGAGCAGGGCGGATCCCATGGCCATCTCGACCTCACGGGTCCAGAGAAGGAGATTCTCTCCATCCTTCACCTCGAAGATGTTTACGCTCACCAAGAGCGGTTTCGATCTAGCAGATCCGTCGCGCGTCACCGACGCTGCCGCCGTTGCGGCGCTCATCTTTTCTTGGACATGCTCCATGAGCGCGTCTTTATAATGCGAGAACGATTCCAGTCTGGCGGTCACCACCTCTGGACCTTCCGACGCAAGGTGAGCCACACACTCCGGGCCAAGCAAGGACATGATCTTGTTAAGCGCGTCCTGCTGCGCCGGGGGCAAATTCGCGAACACTGGGTGTTCCATCCTCACAGAGGATACAGTCAACCGACTCAGGTGCGGGATTGACTACAAATGCTACCAAGTGCAGCGAGGCTGCCGTAGCTAAGCGTCAGAGGAAGACGTACGACTCGAAGAGTCCCTAGAACTAAGTTCCTTATCCGAAGGAAACTTACAGCCCAAGAACCAGGGCTCAAAGTTATTAAGAACACTAATAACTTTTATGCTTCAAAACCCGAAGTGTATTGTTTATTTTTATTGCGGTCAACCCGCTATCTATGTTTAACTATCTCGCATAGTTAAACCTAATCAAATGCATATCGGATGGCCCTCAGCCTATGTACTGAGGCCACTGTTAACTCTACGAGTCATGTACTGCAAGTTTGTTAACTCTTCTGGTACTCCGTAACCATGAATGTGCAACACCCGTGTAACCCGGTACAGCTAGAATTAGTTAGCTTAGGATATAGCTCTTCAAAAATGGTAAGTACAACTTACAATTCCTGTGATAGATCAGAAAAGGTTTTAGTGGTGACACCAGCG